AAGCCTTTGACAATACATATCTTTATATCAACTCAAAAGTCACCAAATATATGGCTATTGTGGCATGTGCTGTCACAGCTATGGATTGTATCAGTTTGGTGGCCAATCATAGTGATAGATGTCAGACCATGTTTCCTGATACTTCACAACAGTTTTGTTGTCTAATTTTCCTAGATAACGTTTTGCCCTCTCTGAATTACTGTGCTATATATAGGCAATGTCATTGTCAGCGGTGCTGCTCAGCCACAGAGAAGCTCAGTCTACTCCTTCAGGGACTCAAAAGATCAACATGTGTGTCTAGTCTCAGCCTTAGTTGCAGCCTTAGTGACTTGATTCCTGTCAAAGCCTGTGCAACGCTGCGGGAGAAAGCAGCTTAAAGCCAGTGTCCAACTTTCCCTGCCCATTATTTCGGCCAAAGCAAGAACTTCATGGAAGTTTAAGCCAGTGTTTCCAAAATATAGCCAGCTTATTTCCCTTTCCCAGTTCTGTTGCCTTATCTTTGTATTAGGATCTCAAGAGAGGAAATGTATTCACTGATCTCCTCTTGAGTTGTTTTTGTAGCTGCATTCTCTAGCATGAGAGACTCTGGTTCCTCTTTAACAGGCTATCAGTCACCCATAATTTGGATAATTGTGGATAACATGGTGCATCCTATTATCAGTGAGACTGAAATGATTATTCTATTTTGAATCGAGTTTCTATTTGATGATAGGCAGTTTAGCCCTTTGCTTTTTTCTTATTTTCAATTGTATCTGCTTTCTCCTGATAATTACTCAGAATCTGCATTCACTCTTCCTCTTATATGCCTTTGGAAATTCTGTCTACAAATATAATTCTCCTGTTGTCTTAGTACCCTCTCATAAACTTGTTTGGCAAAATATATTTTCCACCTCTGCTTTCTCTAGTTTTGTCTCTACATAGAATTATGATGGAATGATGTGCTAATTGTTCTTATTTTTGTAAAAGTATGTTAAAAATAACTTTAAACAGTATTCTCAATCTCTACACTTGAAGTGGTGCTGCCAATACCTTGCCTTTGTGTCTCATTGCAGTAATTTTGTGATTTAGCCCATGGTACTTTTTAAAACTTTAGATGTGCCCATAGACCCCAATGGCTCAAGGATTCCTGTAAACATGGTATGAGAAACTTATGGCCTTCCATATAATTTTGGGACTATTTCTCCAGTGATCCTTCACCAGATCCCTATTCTAGCTAAAGGCTGATGGGATTCAAACAAATGTCTGGAGGACTGCAAGTTGCTGAAAATTCAGGAATGGGCCAATAAATAAGGAAAAGGACTGAAGCCTGGTTTTATACTGACACAAATTATTTAAATAGTAAAGGAATCTCCAGTTACATTCTGTTTTATGGACAACTAGCCGTCCC